AGATTAAAAATATTTTTATCATATTTTTATTATATAATAGTTATATAACTATCATATGATAATCATAAATGGCAAAAATTCAAGTTTCTGCTAAGAAAGTACAAAAAGTAATTCATTGATTTTAGCCTGATAGCCGATTCCGATTGGTTGAAGGAGTGGGAAAATATCAAAATAAACATTTGGCCTTGAAATAACCTACGAATGGGTACTGTATACAGAGCGTACGGTATTAATTGTTGTTATTTCCGTATTTCGCGATGGGATGTTAAAAGTCCGATTATTCACCAGTCAAAATTTTAGCAATCTAATATGTATAATTTTGGAACTTTTGTGTGGTAAAACAATTGTATTTACCAATTGTATTTACCAATTTTTAATATACCGTTGAATTTTAAAGCGACAATTCCTTATGTAATTATCCGAATTTTATGAACTGAGTCCGGTCCAGACCCGGACCGAACACTGACCGAACCCGTTCCTTGTGAACCATTTAATATCTCTATGTTTGTTGTACGGTCAAATTAAAACTTACGTCAGATCAAAAATTTAAATACAGAAATTCATTAGGATTTAGAGTGAAACCTTGAGATCTTAGGATAATTATTTTGATCTGACACTAATTTTCAATTTGACGTACAATACAACCAAATATTTTGTATGATTCGATAAAAGTTCTATTAAATAAACAAATTTCGGGGCTGGTAGATTTAATAAACCGGATAATTAAGCCCACATGTATACAGTATTACAGTAATTATAAATGTTAAGTAAATATATAAAAAATTTTTAACGTTAACAATTAACAGAATTAAAAATTTACATTCGGATACGTATACAATGATAAAAAAAAATTAACATTGTATACAAGTATCAATAGCAGATAAGCAAATTAAAAATATGTACAGTACACAGTAGTTCAAGCCAAGTAATGTACTTACTGTATAGCGAGCCATGTAACGATAAAGAAATTATAAAAAATATACAGTAATCGAAAGATATAAATAATTATTAAAAAAAATATATATATTCAAACTTTATAAAAAAAAAATTAGTTATTATTAACAGATTATCTGACGATACATTCTAAAACCAATGCTACCCATTTAATTCGAAAAGATAGACTTAAATTGAATCATTGCGGATAATCCGGTGGATTCAATAACGATAATACGTAAACGATTAACGTTAAATGAATCAGCATTCCTGAAAAGGAATATCAGATACACAAAAATAGAAAGTTCTACCGAAACTATGATAGCTTAACCTTACAACGACAAGAATGCGATTAAAACTATCTATTAATAAGATATATATACCAAAGAAATACTATTTTAATAGGAATAAATTGAAATACGTACGTACGTACCATTAAAATAAGGGCGTAAATTGTATTCAGTAACACCAAAAATTTAAAAGTTATGAATTTATTACAACCGCTATGCATTTATTTAGTAATTGAGATATCATACACGATATATAGATATAATGATAAAAAAAGAACACTAAATTAGTTCTGAAATGTTTTGAACGATCAGACCATAGTTAATATCACATTGTTCTAACTTTAGGTACTTGCGTACGTACAGTATGTACGTACGTAGTGCCCAGCAGTGGTTTTTTGATTGATGGCAAAAGAAAGTATAAAAGTTTCACTTGGCATTACTAATTTGCACATACCATTTCCTTTCTAGTTAGAGAATTACGCAGTCGGAGTATTTCGAATGAATCCGAAATATTTCTCCTGGACGCCATTTCGGACATGTACGTACGTAGGTGGATTCCTCAATTATTTATCACATGCCTCAAAATAGCTTGGCTAATAATTTCTAAATCTATCAATGTTTCTCTTCTAATTTTTTTTTAGAACATGTTTATACGTAACAAAGATCACCGTTAAATACTCAACCTTAATTATCTTGCAGTTGATGAAACAAAATGCTTCAATATGTACATAATTCATTTTTATATTTATACGTATTAATAAAAATAAAGATAAAAATAAAAAACTCAAACGTTAAAACGCCTGTTTAAACATAAAAAGTTAATACGAGAAATTATAAAAAATCATATGACACACTATTTTAATATAGATGTTTAAAAAATTCAAAAAAAGCCAAGATCGTTCCTCAAATACGTACGTACGTATAAAGGATGATTGTTAATTTTTATTTTTATTTTTGGCAATTTATTCTGTTGCTTTGTACAAAAAAAAAAAGAGAGTAATTTATCACGCACGTGAACTGAACTAATAAATTACGAAGAAAAATATTGTGAATATGCAACACTATTATGTAGAATAAAAAAAAACCAATGTAATTACATTAAAGTTATTGTTGTATTATATGTAATAACAAAAAATGTTCATCTCTTGAAAAGACCCATATAAAAAAAAATGTCCATGTATAAAATATTTAACTCAATAAATTTTTCATAAAATCATAAATAAAGTGAATGGTATTCACAGATTTTTAGTGGATAATGAGAATTATTTTCTGGATAATTCGCGCTTGCGAAATCCGAGAACCCAAAATATATCGTCGTGTACATAAACAGAGTTATACTTATAGTTATTAGTGCATCTATTTTAATTAATAAAAAGGAAATAATAATATGTTAAGTAAAGAATCTTTTAATACAAGACAAGAATGGTTTTTATAGGAATTAAATTGATAAATTGATACATACAGAGTAAAGCCCGTTCCCAAGGTTCAAGAGAAGGTGATGTATTTAGATCGTTTTGGTAAGATTTGACAACAAAGTAATCATGGATACTTGAGAGCATGATTTATTATATACGTTTTTTTTAAAAAAAAAACTTTTTTTCTTGAAGGACGTTAATTTTGAAATTTTAATTATCGTATATAATAATATCAGCGATCCGTTAGAACTGTGAATTGGTACGTTAAAAAGCGTGCCAATAGTGAAATCCAAAGGAAAATTTGAGGTTTATATGTTTTTTTTTTTTTTTTTTTTTGATGATTAACAAAGAGTACAACGGATTTGTATGTATGATATTATGTGTAATACTGTATATGAAAATCAATCAATTTATATAAATTTTTTATTACCGAAAGATAAGGACGTACGTAAGTAAACGACCAAAAAAACTTGTTTAGTTAAAACAGCTTAAATTTTTATTATTACTGTATCGGTATTGTACGAATAATAATGGATTATAATGCAATTTAATTGATTCAATCTATTAAGTCAATTTA